GTATGGGATAGGCAAGGTAGTCTGGGTGCCTCAGTTTCCACCTCCCTCCCAAAACACTGAGAAAGCAGCCAAGCGGAGGCAAAGGCCACAGCTCCCATTCAGTAACCTCTTCTTCCCCAGTCTCTTTAAATTCAGCCCCAGCCACCTGCTGCTTTATTTTGCTCTTGGGGGTCAGAATGGTATCACCTGCCCATTTATTACAAGTCCTAAGAGTGTCTATCCTTACATCTTGCTTATGTTTTTATAAATACAGTAGTTCCCAGGTAGTCTTGAATCCTACTACACATAAGTTCTGTGAAACCACAAAAGTGGATCCAAAAACCAAAGGCAACTAAGTGATATTGGCAGATTATATTTACCATGTGGACACTCTGGACAAAAGGATGATTTGTGTCCCAGATGAGATGGAACAGGTTGGCATAAGATTTCACGCCACTGAAAATGGTACAAAATGTCCTTATGAATTTGTTTACTTCTGGAACTTTCCATTCAATATTTTCAAGGGCAAAAGGAGTCAGGAAAAGTGAAAACTCAGATTGGGAGAGGGCTACCATACTGCTTCTTAAAAATACTTCATGCTAATATAAATTATTTCCACCATTCTTAAAAATACTTCATGCTAATATACATTTATTTGCTACTAGATCAATAATATGCAAAAATACCTGCCCTCTTGAGTGGATGGTAGTTGGGTAGACAGGCCACAGAAATTATACAGCTTATAAAATGAATATCATTGAAGAATAAAAGCAGTGAAAGGAGCCAAAAAAGTACATAGAAGGGAATTTTAAGCAGCTGATTAGAGAAAGCTTTATTAAGAAGGTAATGTTTGAGCACCAGCTCAAAAGTGGTGAAGGAATAGGCCACGAGAGATCAGAAAGGACCGAGCTGAGGAATGGTTGGTGGATCTGAAAAGGAAGGTGCTTTTGAGAAATATTCAGCAAACAGAGGAGAAAGAGAGAGTGGCTGGTTAAACCATCAGTAAAGCACACTGAGGCTGGGGTTATCTTCAGCACCCTAGCTCAGATAACACATTCCATAAGCTTCCTAAATAGTCCCTCTCATATTAAGCCAAAAGATTTACAATTTATTTATGTAAATCTATGATGTATATAAGACAAACAATTCTATTTTCTACCCTAATTACTGTACCACAAGTTACTGACACATAAAAAGCAAAGTTAAATGTACTGATGACCAGCTCTGAACAACTAGTGAGTTCCAGAAGCATCATATGGAATACAATGCTAAGACTTATCCTAAGGGACAAGAAAAGTTGCTTCTCTTGTAGACATCCCAAGTTTGTGACACTCCTAAAGGCAGATGAGAACAGGTGGTGATATTTCACAGAAAGCACTAAATAAATGACTACTCACCAGACTCCTTGGGAGACCAAATCTGACAAGCACCCAGAATGAAGCCCCAGGGGAAAATGGAAAACTTGGTGCTCTGATGTCACAAAAACAGTGATAAAAATGAAAACAGCAGAGTCAAAGACAAATGGAGTAATCCATCAAGGTTAAGGCCAAAATTTCTCATTCGACTTGACAATTAGAAAACCACTGGTGACCTTTCTCTAGTGGCTGAGGAGTAAGTCAGGGGTGAACTCATCAGGCAGCCACAGGGAACCACTTTTGGAGCCTACTGGAGTGAGGAGGGATGGAACAATTGCAGAGCGGAGCTTACAGGATCAGGGCAGGGTACAGACAGAGAGGGGCCCGCCCGAGTAGGGGGATCCTGAGCTTCTCACTCAGCTCCAGTAAAGATCTCATTGAGAAAGAAACCTAAGGAAGGTAAGATCAAGACCTCCCCAAGGCAGAAGAGACAGCCTTGGAGAGAGACAACAAATCTCCACACCATGGCGGTGGCAGAGGCAAGAGAAGTGGACCGAAGGGGAAGTTTATGCCAACGGAAGAGTTCTAGGTCAGAAGGTGAATGGAGATCATAAGAGACCATCACCAACGGTGGGCTTGAGACAAAGATGAACAATGTGAACCACACAACGGAGTTATAAGTAAATACAGAAGAAAAGAGGGGGCTGTGTACGCTTTGTATTTTATTTTATTGTTATTTTATTTGGTACCAGGGATTGAACTCATGACTTTGAGCTTGCCAGTCAGGCACTTATGCTGCTGATCTAAATCCTCAGTCCAATGTAAGCTTTATATTTTCTGCTAAATAAAACCTGAACTATTACTCAACCTTGTCTTCAGGCTTCTGTTTGCCTGTGAAATATTGTCCTCCTGCTGTGTCCTGACAGATGTCACCAAGGTACCAGTCACTTATTTCCAAGCAATGGCTTCCCATATCCCACCTTTATTTTATTCCCTTAGCCTGGAATTTTCCTTCCATTCCCATCACACTATTAATGGACTGAAGTCTAGCCAGAATCTCAGCCTAGGGCCATAATAAGAAATAAAGTCTTTGTGAAGGAATTAATGATTTTTAAAATGAGATCACCCTGGATCTAGGGTCGATCTTACATCCACTGAGTACTGTCCTCATAAGGGGAGAAGACACACAAAGAAGGGAAATCCACGGGACACAACCACTGAGCTAGGCTGGCTCAAGCCAAAGGATGCAGGAGACACATGCAAGGGAGGTTCCTGCAGACCTTCACAGGAGCTGTGGCCTTAGAACTGAGGGCCTCGCACATGCCAGGCAAGGGCTCTGCCCCTGGGCTGCACCTCAGTCCCCAGACATCTCGATTTCCTCCTCCTGGCTTCCAGAAGGGAGAAAAGAATAGACTTTGGTTTTAATTCTCCAAATTTGTGGTAATTTGATGCCAACTAAAACAACATCATAACCCCTCATAAAATACATTTCAATTTTTCTATCTTTTTTCTTACAATTCAAACAGTTTTGCAAGTAAAAATTAAAATAGAAAATCACTCCACTGTGACAACACTCCTATCAAGAGCAGATACCTCCCTCTTCTATGAACACACCCAAATCTTTAAAGGCATGGCCCATATCTTAAGGATCTTTGTATCACCTCCCAAAATATGTATCAGTTGCTACTATATGATAAATGATTGTCTGATGACATATCATTTAGAGTCCTATGTCTGTCTTCAAAGGTAACATTTCCTTGACGGCAAAGATCAGATTGTCTGTCTATCTGTCTTCATGGTACCTAGCAAAGGATCTTAGCACTAACTACCAAAATCTTTGGTAACAAGTGCTAATCAGATTAACATCTTCATTGAGCAGATATCACATACTAAACTAAAATTTTTTTTCTGCTGAAAAAAAAAAAAAACCCCAAAAGTAAATACTGAGGTTTGGGGGGTTTTTGAGTCTCCCATCTTGCCTTGGAAGCTTCATACATGAGCCCCCATCCTACAGCGAAGGGTGGTACACCTGTTCTTCCAAGCCACCCTTGAACCTGGTGATGAACAGCACCGTCACTGTGGTTGTGCTCATTTACCCTGCCAAGGAGACCACCCGTTAGTTGAAATTTTGACCACGATAGCCCCATCAAATAAATTAGCATCTTTGCTTATTATTCAAGATTGAACGCTAAAGATCAATGGTCTTTTATTTCATCAGTGAACATTCAAGCCTTGAGTGGCTTAACTGTCACACTGTGCCCTCCTGAGTACTGTAACTTTGATATAATTATATTACAGTTCTATTCTCATTTCATTTGTCTTTTTCCACTTGCATCTAAACTAATTCAACATCAAGCAGGATTTCTTCTATTGCACATCTTCATACCTTGAGCTCTCTGCTATGTGAAAACAGCTTTTAATTTCTTCCACAAATAGAAATACTTCCTCAGGTGCCAAGTTTCTGTGGCTCCAATTTTAGAGGCCCAACTCGATTCAAATACCAAGTATTCATTACAAAGAAAAAATGTCACACTCACATGAAGGAAAAGAAAAACAAAGGAAAAAATTAAGCAAAATTTAGTACTTCTAACCTTTAGAGTTGGGAAACTGTCAAGATGTTTTAAACTTCTATTATCAGTAGTGCTAATTAAACTTAATTTCCCTCACTCTCTACTCAATATAAAATTGCATTTTTTTTCATGTTACGGCTTGCTTTTTTGTGTGTAGCAACACTGAGACATTAATTCGTGTGGTCTTTCATTATAAAATTCTAATTCTACAGTATTTCAGCTTCATTGTAGGTTAAATTGGCTCTTGTGGGCTTAAGTGTATTATAAACTTCTATATCCCATAACTCGAGTGGATTTAAAGACTAATAGAATAATTCCATATCCATACAGCTAGCTTTTGACTTCAAAGGTTCTAGAAAATTCTCCTGAAACCTTTTTAATTAAATTCAAGGCGGTGCACCCTTAATTCACCACCACATGGTTTCACCTCGTTAGACTTTGGAGGAAGAAACTTTAAAACATACACTTTCCTGTTCTGCAACAAATAATAGCACACTGTCTTGTCTGGTAGAATAAGACACCTGACTTTTAATTTCGTAAATATGCATTTAATTTAAATCGGCGTGTACCACATTCCAAAGTTTTCCACTAAGTCATCTCCAGATTGACTTGCAATACTTCTACTGTAAATGTGCAACCAGATAGCACTCCCTAAGAAAAATTGTAAGTCAGTAACCAGCAAACGCAAATAACCACCCTGTCACGCCACGTTCTAGTCAGTATAGTTTCCGGACTGGGCCCCAAAAGGCGGAAAGTGAGATTTGCAGGAAAATCTAGGGCCTCTGTGACGCTGGGATTCAAGGATCAGAAATCAGCAAAGTGAGACTGGCTTCAGGACCTCGGGGTAGCCATCAGCGTGCCCTCCAAAGTTGGGCGGAAACTTCCTGGGCTCGGAGGGCGGAGTGGGCGACCGTGGACCGACCTCGGCTCCTCTACCCTGGGAGCGCACTTTGCTCCTGGAGCTTGGGGAGCACCGGGGTGCGCGGGTCCCCAGGGGCGGAGGGGGCGGAGTCTTGGGGCGCAGGAGGAGCCGGGGCTGGGGGAGGGGAGCGCGGGCCGGGTTGCGCAGAGGGGCGCAGGCGAGGGACCCACTCACCCACGGGGCGCTGGGGCCGAATCGGGCGCCAGCGCAGGACGCGCTCGCCCAGCTCCACGTCGCAGCCGCCCCTCCCGATCTCGAAGATGCCCCGGAGCAGGATCCGCTCGGGCGCCGCCTGGGTCTCGGCGGGAGGCTGGGGCCGCGCCGGGGGCGCCTCCTCCTCCCGGCCGCCCTCCAGGGCGCTCACCCGGCTCCCGCGTCTCCCCCGGGGCATGGCGAGGCCTGGGCCTGGGTCCAGCGAGGCCTTCGAAGGCCGAGGTGGAGGCCAAGCCCGCCGGGTTCCAGCGGGTTCCGGCCGCGTCCGGCGCTGCCCGGCAACGCGCGCCCGCTGAGACGGGGGCGGGGCCGTTCGGGTTGCGGTCGGGCCGCCCCGCGCGCGGAGCTGCAGCACCCCGAAGCCTCCGCGCTGGGCCGGGGGTGCGCCACCCCGCTGGGCGCCTCCTTTTTAACAGAATTTAGCGCGCTGCACTAACCTGAGCCCTAAAGCCAGTGCTCCTCAGATTTAGCGCGCGCGTCTTGGGGGCAGCTTACGAAAATGCAGCTGCTTGTTGAACAAGTCTGCAAATACTGTATTTCTAAAAAGTGTCCAAGAGTCTGCGGATGCTCTGTGTGTCCGCTGCCCTTCTAGGGGTGAGGTAGCACTTCGCAGGGCCGGGAGAGTTTACACCGCTCTAGTGGAGTGGGTGCTGACTCATGGCACCTGGGGTTTCTTCCCCGAAGATTTGCACTGGCTACCTTTGGCTCTGCAGCAAAGTGGCTCTGTGCAGTCTTGAGGATCCTGATTTCCCAGAATAGCTCCCTTGCAGTGTCGCCTCTGCCTGGATCTGGCATTCCTGGAGAGAGATGCCAGGCAACAGCATTCCTTCTCCAAAAGGCCACTGCTATCAAGTACTGTCACCTGGACAAAAAGAGCTGGCACGGGGAGACATTCCTCAAATTAGCTGTTAGTTTGGAAAGCTGGAGGCCAGAGACCCTGGTTCTCAGGTGTGGCTGCTTATTAGAGTTACCTGGGGAGTTTTTAAAAATCCAGTTTACCCAGGCCACATTCAAGTCAGTTAGGTCAGACTCTGCGGGTAGGGCTCAGACTTTTAAGTTTTGCAGAAGATTCTAGTTTTTAGCTAACACTGAGACCATCAGGCTTTAAGTAATTTACCACGGAGAGCTGATAATTTGTACAGGAGCAGATTTGGGAGGTTAAAGCATGAAACCTTTTTACAAAGGCATTCTTTGAGCTAAACCAGGAGCTAAAGGAGTTAAATTCATAGCTGTGAAACTAGGACCAGCACACTAATGCCTAAACAATTCCATCAAATACACAGCTATTTCTCATCTTGTTCTTATGGTCACCCTCAGCGTCAGACGGAAGAGCTGACTAGCTCAGACGGTTTGCAGGCCTAGCCAAATCCATTTCAAACACAATGTGCCCAAGTGCCAGTTGAGCTAGGTCTCTGTACCGTTTCCTGCACTTGAAGCAAACACTCACGCTTCCAGGGTACGCTTCAGGTTGATCTCATTGCAGTGAGCTGCTTCTTGGGGCAGAAATACAGCTGCTCCTGAGCCCCATGCAGGCTCCTGGTGGCTCCCTCAGCAGTCATGGGTGGAAACGGCGTGGTGGTGCAGGGTGAATCTCAGTTCTGGAGTCAGCATCTTATATTCACTGCTGTCAGGCAATCAAGGCGATTGGAGCTCACTAGCATTTTAAAAGCTCACTGAGAGGCAGGGCAAATAGGCCAAGCCTGTGGCTATGTTTTGAGGACCTTTGAAAAGGAGAACACTGCTGTTTTTCAAGCTTCAGTCTGGCCATGAGTCAAAAACGTTGACTTTGAAGTGTGTGGATGATGGAAAAAATAAGTAGTAGGAAGCCAGAAGTGGGAAATAGGAAGGACTTTCCCTCTGGCGCCCTGTCCTCCTCCATGACTAAACACTGCAGTCCCGCCCGGCGTGGTCTTCAGATTCTGTACACACACATCAGCTCCATGCTTTACAAGTGGAGTACAACTGAAAAATAGTGCAAACGTGTAAACATGTTTACATGGATTACAGGGAATGACACTTGGCCATTATTCCTCCTCACACCTACCGTTCTTGCCACTTTAGAAGCAGTTGTGAAATCTTTCATGAGTACCTTGCATTGTACTGTCAGGGGTGCCTCAGTGTCCTCAACTGATTTCAGGCATTGACCTGGCCTGGTCATTTTGAATTTGAGAAAGAGCCAGAAGTTGCCTGGTGCCAGACCCTGTCTGTTGTGTGCTTCTGAGCCTCCTTTTCCTCTGGATAGCCCTCGGCAGCAGTGTTTGCTGTATTTCTTGCCACACTTTGGATGGTCATTTGTTTTCACAGAGTCCTAAGTTCCAACATGGCGTGGATCTCAGGAGACACTGCTGGTTCTCCCCCTGGAAGGGCTGCAGTCTGCCACCCTGCCTCCATTTACCAGGGAGGGGAGGTGCTGGCTTGGCTTCCCAGAGTCCTCAGTTCCAACATGGCGTGGATCTCAGGAGACACTGCTAGTTCTCCCCCTGGAAGGGCTGCAGTGGGCCACACTGCTGCCGCTTACCAGGGAGAGGAGGTGCTTACACTTTGTGAAGATACTGGTGAAAGAGAACTTCTAATCTGCTCTGGAAAGTCACAGGAGCAATGAGAGAACTACTCAAATGAGAGGGCCATTAGTGGCAGTGCATTTTTTGCTATAATAAAATTTGTGTTTAACCATTTGCTATATATTTTAGTCATACCTCATACTATCCAGGGCTGCACAAGGGAAGTGACCAGCCCTGGTCACTCTCCCAGATATTACGCTTAACCTCCACTCAGCGGTCTGATAAACACCTGAAAGATGAGAAACACGACTAAAACCAAAGTCACGATATTCTGTCACATACATGTTCCTCCCAAGATGTTATAACTCAGATCATCCAAATCTCTGCTACCATCCTTATCTCCTTTGTCTGAAACCTCACATCTAACTCTAGGGCAAATTCTACCCATTGCATCTCCAAAACATCCTCAGTCTGCAATCACCCTATCTGACCTCAGCACCTCGCCGGGAGCAGTGTGGGTATCTCTGCTTCCCCCTCCACTGTACGGAATCTCCCAGCCAGCCCACAGCTACTTTCTGAGTAGAGGTTACATTGCTTTTTGTGGTAACAAGAGTATGGCACAGGAAATCCAAATTCTGAGAAAGGGTTTGGCTGTGTGATGCTTCAACAAAATTTAACTTTGTCATTTTTCTGCATTTGGAATTTCTTCCAGTTGATGAAATTTAAAGAACTAAAGCCACAATTTCCTGAAGACAGAAAGTTACTGATGGTTTCAAAAATAATGTGTACAGTAAGATAAGAAGGTAATTATGAATAATTATGCAACCACTTATTTGAAACATATCCCATGTGGAGTAAACAGCAGCAGCAGTGGCCCTGAATAAAAATGGACTTGGCTTTCTGGGATCCGTGTAGCAGACACAAGTGTTTTAAGCACCGGTTTGAGCAGGTGGGGAGGAATCAGACTTCATGAGATCTCTCAAGTCTTGGTCTGAGTTTGGTTTTTATTCTGCCCCAAATGACTATGCCTTAATAAAATACATTCTGTAAGCTGGTGTTTGATAAAGAAACAATGTTGGTGGTGATTTTATAATGTACGTACTCAATCATTTGTCACGCAAGGTACTAATTTTGAAGCTGACAGATGTCTGCAGATAAAAGGCGGTGATGTCTGTATGATCAAAAGAATGTGGTCAAAGTTCACATTCATAGCAGTTGGTCCTAACTAGAATGAGACAGACATCCTTGTCCCTTGCATCATGACAGTGTGTCTGTTCGTTATCAATTTTTCTGCTCTGTTCTGAAACACTGAGGTGGCCCGGGCTTCTGGGGGCTGTCACATTGGCCTGTACCTTGGGACTTAACTTGTTTCTCCTAGAAGCTTGGGTATTTTGGTTTGAGAGCATTCTTAATGGTTTTCAGAAAACACTGTTACCAACAGCACAGAGATTCTCATGATCTTTTGCTGAGACTTGGATTTCTAAGAGTCAGAGATGGAGACTATGTTTATGGTGGGAGCCAAATTCTATCCAAGTATAAAGTGACCAGATGATGTCAAACTGGGTTTCTCATATGATTTAAAAATACACTGACTTTTTGCATTTGAAAAGAATTATTGCAGTAAAGACTCATTGACATCAACCACCCACAAAATATACTTGGTCCATTGTTCTTGCCCCTTAATTTTTTAAAAACACATTTTGTGTTTTTAAAAATTTCATTGGTACATTTTACCCATATGCTTCTTCCCTTCCCTTTTTGATAACTTTAAAAACAAATCAAAAAAAGATAAAAATGATATGGAATTCTAAAAAATAGTAGGAAATGAACACTAGTTAATATATTGCATATTGTTATCATAAAGGTAGCTGTTCAGATTACAAGATTTAGGTATGAAAAAACTGATCAAACAATGAAAACACAAACTGTTCTTTTTTGATGAATTTATAGAGATTAGTAGTATAGTTATCTATCTTGTACATAAATACGTATACACACACATACGTATGTATACCTATGTACATACAATCTTTTCCCTTCTTCTTTTTCTCCTTTCCCCTGTCCCAGTTGTTCTTTCCTTTTGCACACTTTCTTTCCCTTTCATCTTCACAATATCTATTGTACATTTTGGACCTTATTACTCTTTCAGACTTTTTTACACTAGGGAGACAATATGCTATCCACATATGTGAGTTTGATTTATTGCACTAATGAGCAAGGTCTCAAGTTACATCCATTTACCTATAAAAGCCTCAAGTTTATCCTTCTTTATAGCTGAGTAATACTTCATTGCATAAAAATACCACATCTTTTTTTATTAATTCTGTGGTTGATGGGCATTTTGGTTGTTTCCAAGCTTTAGCTGTTACAAATTGTGTTGCTATAAACACGGGGCATATACATCGCTGTGGCATGATGTTTTCAATTCTTCTGAGAAAATACCCAGAAGTAAAATAACTGCATCAAATGGGACCTCCAATCCTAGTTTTTTCAGGAATCTCCACACTAATTCCAGAGTGGTTGTACTAGTCTACCCTCCCACCAACAGTGAAGAGGAGTTCCCTTTTTCCTATAGCCCCACCAACATTTGTTATTGGTTGATTTCTTGATGATTCTTTCAGCCATTCTTTCAGGAGTGAGATGGAATCTCAGGGTTGTTTTAATTTGCATTTCTTGAATGACCGGTGATACTGAACATTTCCTCACGTATTTATTTGCCAGTTGTATATCTTCACCTGAGAAGTGTGTGTTCATCTCAGATGCCTATTTTTTGGATTGGGTATTTGAATTTGCAGTGCCTGTTTTTCAATTCTTTATATGTCTGAGATAGAAATCCTTTGTCTGAGGGCCAGTTGGCTAAAATCTTTTCTCATTCTGTGGGTTTTCTTTTCACTCTGTTGAT